GGGGGGGGGGGGAGGGGGGCTCCGCAGAGCCCCCCCCATCCCTTTGGGGGCTGGGATGTGCCCGCAGCATCCTAGGCTCCAAGAAGGACATATCCCCTCTACACCAGCCTCTCCAGCCCCGCCACCAGCTCACCCACCGAGCACTGACCCCCACAAGGGATTTACAGGTGGGCTGGAGAGAGGTTTGATAGTTAAAGGTACAGCACGACTCGCCCCTTGGCACAGCCCCCCGCCGACACCGCTCCAGCCCGGCTTCATTATCAGAGGAAATAACAACTGCACATGGCTGGGAGCGGAGAATGCCCCGTCCAAAGTTTACAGCTGGCTGTGGCTGAAACCAGTTAAATGGACCATGGAGACTTGGGGAAAATCATCCAAGGAAGGGAAAAAAAATAAACCAGCCAGTTCCCTGCATTTCTAAATATAGAGCGAGCTCTGTCAGTTTTAATAGGACGGTCATAATTGCTCCCGCCGCTTTGCTGGGCTGAGCGTGGCCTAATTGCTCGCCCGTAACAATTAGTAGCGTTAATACGGGGCAGTTGCGGGGTAGTGGTGCCGCAGCCAGGACTGCGCAGCAGCCACCGGGAAATTGCCCTGGCCCAGGCGATTAGAGGTGTTAATAGGCTGGCTTAAGGGGCCCAGCAGCAGCACCGCCAGCAGCCCAGGCATTTTGCCCTCCTGCTGCTTCAAACAACTGTGCTGAATAGGAACAGAACTGGATCCACAAAAACATCCTATTTTAGACAAGCCTGACCATTTTCCAGCTGAGGGCTATAGGCAGAAGCCATCGTGGGAGCTTAAGTCACCTCGTGCTTTTTCAAGCTCAGATCCACTCGAGCCTTCTCCAGACCAGAACCTTTACGGTGTAGAATTGGGCAGAGGAGGCTTAGTTATTTCCAACGGGAGAGTTGCCCTGTGGCAGGAAGGAAGGGTAGAAGCTTGCCAGCATCTCTGTGCGGCCAGAAGGCTGCGGAGAGGCCAGGCTGTAGCTCCAGTGCTGACCTGTGCAGATATCCCCATGCCGGGGGGCTCTGGGCAGCTCTGCCCTCCCTCCCGTGCCCTCCCTGCCTGCGCTGCCACTGCTTCCCAGCCCCTGGGGTCTCCCGTGCTGATGAGCCGCCGCCTGCAGCGCCCGGGCGTGCTCAGGAAACGCTGGATGAGAGCAAGATACGCTGACCGCTGGGGCCCCTTCCCTCCACCCCCCGGCCCCAAAGAGCCGTGGCCACCACTCTCCTCACCCCCGTGTTGGAGGTGATGGATCAGCGCTGCAGAAGGCGATGGCAAGAAACAAGTAACATCGTTGGGTGCCTTGAACTTCCCATCCCTGGAGACCCAGGGTTGTGCATCCCAACTTTAAAAGGTTTAAATGCTAGACAGCTGCAGGGAGCCTCCCAGGAGGGACAAACATCCGCTTGGCCACATCCTCTCTGCTGCAAGGCCGCTCCACGGGGCAGGGCAGGGGACGGGGGGCTGCGCTGGGAGGGAGGGCTGGCCAGCAGAGCGGAGCCTGCTGCCTACCTGGCTGGAAAGGTCAGGCAGCAGCAGCTGTTTCAGTGCCGGCAGGAGCATGGCTCTCCCGAACATCCCTGCAGCCTGAGAGGCTGCTCGTGTCAGCCTGTCCTTTGGGCGGCACTGGGAATTCATCAGCAGTCATCACTGGTGGCAGAAACGAGGACGAGAAGCTTCTGTGAGCGATTGCACTCAGATGGTGGCTTGCTCCAGGCTCTGCTCCACAAGCCCACCAAGCATCGTGCTCTGCCGTACAGGCACATTTCCCAGGGCTCGGCTGCGGAGCACGGCAGTCACAGCACCTGAGCTGGTCGAACTGGAGATGAGAGCGTGTTGCGAATCACTTGGCATGGGGGAGTGCTTGGATTCACAGCTGCTGGGCTGTAACTTGAAGCACCGCAGCTCTCCCGCAGAACTGGAAATGTCAGCCTCGGCTGGGAGCACTGGTCTGCCCCTCCTGCAGGGCCAGCCAGCGCGGGGCTCGCAGCTCCAGCGCACTCCCACTGAGCATCTCTGCGCACGGCCAGGACCGAGGCAAGCCTCTGGGTGTTAGCTGGAGCCAACGTGGCAATGAAAACAGATCCAGGCACTGGGGCAGCAGGAGCTGCCTTCCTGGTGGGGCAGAGTCAGCCACCCTTAATCAGACCTGCAAGCACCTTCCCCTCCCCAAAGAGCAGCAAAGCCAGGGCTGTCCCTGTCCCTCCGTCCCCGGGGTGCAACCAGTGGTCCTGAGCCCACTGCGGGAAGGCAGGTCGAGGCACAGGTACCCATGAAGCAGATCAGCTCCTGCAGAGAAGGCTTGTTTGCAAAGACCCCGATTTGCCTACATGTGGGTGCGGTGGCACTAGCTGGGAGGGTGTTTCAGTCTTATGAAACAGGGAAGGACATAAATGCAGTGGTGGATCCTAGCAGAGGAATACTTGTTGTCCAGTTCTCTTTATAAAAGTGTCTGATCTCTCCCCTCTGCAAGAATAAGCATCCACTCAGTGTCCTGTTGCTCTGAGATTGTTTAATATTAAAGTCATGGAGAGGGGTAGGGTTAACATCAGCTAAAATGATCATCAAACACAGGCAGATTATTTTTCTCCCATTCAAAGAATAACACAAATGGTAACAGATCATCCCTTCTCGGTCTCTCTGCAACCTGCGAGCACCTCCACGCCGGCAGCGAGCCACTGCATGCCAGTTGTACCATCGCACGTCACCCAAAAAGTCCCTGGAGGTGCAACTCCGGACACAGGATCCCACTTTGGTTTCCAGACTGAACACGCTTGCTAGAAGATGCGTCTAAGGCTCAGTTCTCCCCAGCAGCAGAGACTCTCGGGAAGCAGAGCGGGGGTTTTGGAGTGGGAGAAGGCGAGGTTTTGCAGTTGCTTCAGTAAGGAGAGGAGGTGGCTGAGCTGTAAGGAAATGCTGTTCTCATTTGCACTTCAAATCGGTTCTTCTCGGTGGTGCTCTTGCTTCCAGGCTGGTTCCCTCGTACCTCTCCTTGGCTTCCCCAGCCCTCAGCGGGCTGTGGCAAAGCCGATGCGGTTGTTGTGCCGGTCGAATTTGGTGTAGTAGTGCCCGATGAAGCTGGCGCCCAGGATCCAGAGTGGACCAGCCGGGGGTGGGATGTCCAGCCCAGAGAAAGCCACCACACAGATGTCCTCTCCATACTGGGATTGCTGCAAAGACGAGGAGACCCACGTGGTGCTGGAGGTGCCAGGAGGGAGATCTCTACTGCAGCGTACCCAAGGAAGGGCTGCAATCCCCAGCTCAACACCCTCTCCTTGGCCTCCACGTTCCTGCCTCCAGGAAGGGGGAATGCCTGCCTGTCTCTGCTCTTTGCTGCTCACCCCAAATCTCCCCAAAGCCACCCAAGGAAGCAGCAACAGGTTGGTCTGCCTCATCTGGACACCTCTGCCGAACAGGAGGGTTTGGGGAAAAACAAGAAGCATCATTCTGGGCTCATCTCAGCTGCTTTAGGGGAGCCAGGAGGGTGCAGGATGGTCCAGGAGAGCTGCACCCTGAGATGCACCACTCTCCCCAGCAGATGCCCTCCCGCCCCGCACGGAGGGACGCAGCTTACCTGGAGGACGTAGGCTGAGCCGCTGAGCACGTAGGCCTTCCCACCCAGGTGGAAGGAGATGTTGGGCAGCTGAGGGACTCGGTCGCAGTCCACCACGTACTGTGGGAAGGGGAGACAGCGCTGAGCCCATTTGCTGGGGGAGGGATGGGCTGGGGTACAGGCAGCAAGGGGGCAGGGACACGGAGCGGGGCAGAGGGGGTTTGCTCACCTCTCCTTCGGTCATTTCTGCTGCCCCGATGGCTTTCATCAGCACGGAGATGGGGCCGGCTGGGCCGGTGATGTAGGATGCTCCCGTGTCGACAGCCACTGAGCAGCCTTCCTTGCAGAACAGCATTTCAGCCCCTACGGACACCCTGGGGCGGGAGGGGAGAGGGGTGACCCTGAGTCCCCCACGGTAGCTGCAGCTCGGCTCCCAGGGCTGCACGTGCCCACGGGCGAGCGCGCCACAGCTTTGTCCAGGGAACACTGGCCACACCGAGCATGTGCTGCTCCCGGTGCCTCCGCAGTACAGGCTCTTCGGGCACGCCAGGAACCCTCCCTTCAAGCTTCTCGAATGTGAACGCTAAGCTTCATCATGTGTGGTTTTTATTTTTTTTAAATTAAACAAAGCAGAATTGTTTCAATGCCTCACGCTCCTTCTGCAGGACTAAAGGGGGTTAAACTCTTCCACTGCAGCTTCCAAGCTGAATCAGCCCACGGTGCCACCCCCTCTGCATTCCCCAGCTCTGCTCCGGGCTCCTTGCTGAGCACGGAGATGCAACTCTGTGCTGGAGGAACTGACCCTGCTCCCCTCCAGAGGGGAAAGCACCCGCCAGCAGCACCCAGTGAACACATGCCTCCGGGGACCACCTTCCCCAGCACCCAGCAAGCCTTTCCCAGGCCCACCCTCGCACGCCCGGGGAGGTTTGCAGGATGCGGCCGGCGCGGTGCAGAGGTGCTCTCTGGCCTCACCCCTTCATGCTGATCTGCCAGTAGCCGCTCTTGCTGACGTTCAGGTAGTGGAAGTCCCCGGTGTAGTAGGCTGGGTCGGCGCCTCCGAGGATTATTTCTCCCCCGGGTTTCAGAGGAGCATTCCTAGGGTGCAAAACACAGTGGAGTGATTCCCCCTTGGCTGCTGTCCCTGAAAAAATGGGGAGAAGGGACCAGCCCCAGCCGCGAGGCTCTGCTGACCCAGTTAGCAGCGGCAGAGAGCAAGATGGAGCAGAAAAAAACCCAAGTTAGTGCACAGGGTGCAAGAGCCCGCAGGAGAGGGGTGCCACATGCTGAGGTCTCCGAGCAGGTCAGTGCTGGCTCCTGCGCGGGGCGGGCGCGCTGGCAGAGCCCGGCGCGGGGCTGATGAGGGTGTGAGCTCCCACGGACCAGTGCCCAGCTGCCAGCGCAGGGCCGGGCTCGCCTGGGGCTGGCAGCGGGGTGTGCTGCCCGGCCCCGGGGCGCGTGGGTGACTATTAGTGGGTGCTGTCTTGAGAGCGCTCGTGCTTTTCGTCTTCTTACTTCGAAGCTCTGCAAAGAGAGAGATGCTCCATAAGCCTGCGGTCCGAGGGCGGCTGTGTCTCCAGGGGCGCCGAGGGGACCCAAGCTGCACTTGGATGAGGCTGCAGTTGCAGCCAGCATCATTAGGCTTTGTTTGTTATTGATGGCTCCACCTTATTTGAGGTAAAGAGCTACCATGCCTGCTTTAAGCGTGCGTTTCTGGGTCTGTTTGTCACTGCACATTGCCAGGCTGCTGTACCTGGGGCTGGAGGGGAGTGCTGGGG